ATTCGGATAAATTGTTCTCACCGAAAACACCGTTTTGAGAAACGCTCGGAGATGTCTTTACAATTTCAAATTCCGGACTGTTTGCCGGATCAATGTTTGCAAAAAAGGCAAAGACAAATATGTACATACATATATCTAAATCAATTATCAGATTTGTTTACTTTTCTGCAAACATTTTTCAAAACACATAAAAATTTATACTGATTTACTGAGATTTGAAACAGCTTTTTGACATGATATTCACTATTTATTATTTTTATAAATCTATTTGAGTGTCCACATGTAAGTCCGGCAAGTAAGTTGGTGAGCGGGCCAACAGTGGGAAGTAGTACATACTTGCTTACAAGGGTCAACAAATTGCGGTTCGTGAAAAGTAAACAATATTGATAAGGAAAATTAATACGCGCACCCTCTGAAAAATCACCACAGACACGCTGTCGCCTCTGAAATACACGCACAAGCTATGTCTTTCACTGAACGTACAAATTAATATAACATCCATATAATATACATACACGTACGTATGTAGAATATGGAAAACGAAAACAAAACCAGAATATTATCAAGTTGTGGGTAAATTTGTTTGTGTTTTTTTTTTAGTTTTTTATTATTTTTAGTTTTTTAGATTCAACTTAAATTTAAAAAGTCAATGTGGTATATGAACAAAAATATCCAATAATATCGCTATTGACTTTTTCTCATTGCATGCAAACAGGTTACTTATACGCCTCAGTGCAGACTCATCAACTGTGGAATCAGTGTCATGTGCAATGTAGTTTTATACAATTTTTAGATGTGTATGTATGTATGCATTTGTAAACAATTAAATAGTTTAAATATTAAGAAAATTAACTAAAAAAAAATAAATAAATTTTTCTAATTGAAGTTTCCCCCCGGCGGGATATGTCAAAACCACGCTTCAGGGTTTCAGTGTTATATATTTTTCGGGGAGCTAAAATCATATCTGCAGTCAGGTTATTTGTATCGGTTTTGGTTTTTTACCATTTATCAGAAAAAAGTTTAAAACATTTTGTTTTTTGCTTGGCTTGACTTACAGCGATTGTTTTTAATGTCACTCAGCATGTCAAGTTAAGCTTTCGGTTTCTTTTTTTGTTAGAACTAAGGCAATCATTTAAAGGTAATTTTCCCAGTGAAAAATTCTATTACTTAAAGCAGCGATAAATCTTTTTTAGAAACCATTGAGAAGAAATTACTAGCATTTGCAAAGCATCCGAAACGGGTAGTCACCATTGGATGTCTCTCGTCAATGTAGCTCAGAAACTTAGATTTTTTGAAAAACGAAACAAAACATCCTGTAAATATTCATGTGTGCACTTACATATTTCCCAACGGCATGCGGAATATAGTATATTGTTCATGCATTTCATTCAAACACCATCAATACTTTCGTTCGCAGCTCCAGCTCTTCATCCACCAAATGTGACAAGTCATTTGGTAGTGTGCATCCCCCCTTATGTTCCTTCGCTTGAATGTGTGTTGCACATTTTGCAGATGGCAATGAGAAAAGTACTCAGCGACAAAATGCGAATGCAGACTACACTGGCAGCAAAATAAAAAATAATAACCATATGTATGAGCAATATGTCAACAAGTCACCGAATATAATAATACAATTTGCTATCTATCACGACATGAAGCTCTCTAATACGTATTTGTTTTACAGGATTTCCATGCTCGAATGTGCTAAAATATATGCGCATAGAGGATATTTGTAAAATTAGATAATAAGAGAAATAGAAATATTCGATACATGAAATTACTATTAAAACACGGCGACGAAGAGGTGACAAAAAGCATCAGCTTTTTGCAGAATATAGTCAGACGTAATCAGAAATGCCCCACATCGGCGCCAGTTAATTAATAGGACCTTTTCAGTGTGGCTTTAGACTTAGCAGATATTCACCATGGAAAACACCCGGGAAAAGAGAAACGACACCCACCACCTTTTCAGCGATTTTCAGGCAGCCCTCGATAGCAGGAAATGAAGGTGTGTTAAGAAACACAAAAAGCTTCATCAGGATCGGGAAGGCCTCTCCGAACCGTTCGATACCAAACGAGGTTTCAGACAAGATGGTTCGTTATCGTGCAACTTCTTTAATTTATTGCTATAGAAATAATACGACGTAAGAGCGTACTGAAGCTGGCCGATAGCGCCAATGATATTAACAACCTCGCCGTGACTGCTGCTTTCTTTAGACTGGATAAGGACCGAAGCGTATATTTCTGGTGGTGAACGATAACGATATGAAATATCTCCTGCCATTAAGCAAACAGTCATTGCATTCGCGGCTCGGCTCCCACGTCACTGTTAATAGTCTATATATAATACTAAATGTAGTAAAAATGAAAATAATGAATTCCATTATTTTTGCATGGAATCAAAGGCCCTAATTTTGATTTTTCGTAAGCAGCCTTATTCAATGGTTCGACAATGTCCATGGTTTTATCGAAATTTTCGACATTCACCTTCCACTCAGTGAAGCATCTTTTAAATCAAAATTACCGGAATTAAAGTGAAATTCTGAATGATTGACAGTAGCAGTATCAAAACGAAAATGTGAATGGATTTTCAGCCGCCTGGCTTGCGCTTATCTAAGAAAAACTGTAAAATACACCGTATTTTCTCTTTGCCATCTTTGACGCATGCTCAATCAAAACTGAATCAACCAATCATATAACTGTCGGAAAAGATTTTTTAGTACGAAATGTCATTTTTCTAACACCATCTCGCGGAACCCGACCGGACTTATACAACGGAGTTACAGATAAATGACGTCATCTATTGGAATAATAATGGATTTATTTTTACAAAACCAAATATATAAAAGGCTTCTCTGTACTTAGCATTTGGAATATAAATATTTTGCTTGGGACCAGGGCCTTAGCTAGTCGAAAATATAGTATTTATTGTTCGATTTGCTTGACACTTAGCTTTTTCCTAGATTGGAAGAGCTCTAGATTTTTGAATTTTGTTTGTGATAACTTCTTTAGCTAACAATATGCTTTAAACCTTGTATAAATTAATTTAAAATTATAGAAAGAAGAAGAGGCTGTTTCCGTTATTTCAAATTTACATGTTTTAAGTTTCCTTAAAAAAGTGTCGATTAACTCCGGGCTCGCCGGTACAATTGTGAAACATACGAGTATAGAGATCCAATTTTTATTAAGCTGCTTCTGACATGGCCATAAGTAAGCCTGGCAATCACATATTATTTACAAAGAGAGATATCGCTGTTTCATTAAGTGGTATCTATCTAGCGCAAGGTCGAAAACCCAGCTTTGTTTTCATGAGGAAAGTCAAAATTTGATTTGTTTTTATATTTATTTAACCTTTCCATCCCAGGAATATAATAAGGATTGTTACATACAATAAGCATTGAAACATTTTAACATAATAATAAACACATAAGTCATAATAAAATAAATCGACTAGAATCCCACTGAACGTCTTACAACAACCACTTTCAAATCACAAGCGGACGAAGTCGCTGATAAAAGCTAGAATATTAATTTGGCTAGGGAAAATATTGTTTGGGATTTTATCCATTAGCAATTCAAGCATTACGGAAGTAATAATTGTTTCCACCACCACATCATCAGCGCCGCTTTATTTTCAGATACGTTCTGAGGCAGTGCGCTGTTCGTCTGTTCATGCTTCAAAACGGTGCTATTTTTATTTCTACAAAGTTTGTGTAAAAAAGGTAGTGGCATTTTAGTTCTTAACTTGAATCTCTCCCTGCAGGAAACTTTCAAAAGCAAAAGTATTTATGGCTGGGTATGTATGTATATGTAAATATGCTTGTCATTAGCTGTAACTGTAACAAAGCTGTAGCAATGTGTGGGAACTTTTTCTTAATTTGCCATTTGCTCGTATATTTTACCCCTCATTGTTGTTTAATCGATATGGAGGTGGATGAAACTCATGAAAATCCCAGTAACAACCGTTAAATATTGAAATAATACTAAGTAAATAACGAAGCCAATGCATGAAGACGTCACAACTAGTGGTTTATTAGGTTAATTGTGTGCGTATATGTTACATATTTCTGAAGTTAATACCAAAAAAAAAAAAAAAACAATTAGTAATCAATCTACACATTTATATAATAACATTTGTTTGTGAGTTTATCTCCAATGACCGTCGAAAACACCTGAACATAATATTAAACATTTTTCAGTTTGCCTCCATGGTTCCTGAAAAGATTTGTAGATTGTTTCGGTAAGTAGACCAGGGACTGATCCATTCGGATTCGGTGCTTAGATTGCAATTTTTCTACTCGAGATCTGGACCAGATTTTTTTTGCTTAGATTTACAGAAAGACTTCTTTTCACCCCGAGATCTCAATCATATTCCAACGTATTCGAAAAAATGTATTATAGCTCTTTTTGCGTATTATTATATTTTTTAAAGGAAGTGAATCAATCTTTTCATTGTTCGGTGTGGTTAAATTTCTGGATGATATACCTAAGCGGCATATATTTGTTTTCCGAAAGTAGCCCAGGGATATGGAAACAAGTTCGATCCGCTGGAAATATAAGTAATACTCCCTTTACGAGAAAGACATCGCCGACAGTTTGACAAAAATTAATATGATTTAGATATATAAGCACGATAATATACTATAGCTGAGGGATACAAGTTATTATTATACGTTCAGCATAAGACAGAATAACTTATTTTGAGACTTTCATACAGAAATGAAAAACTTTGACCAGTGAAAAAGTGACCCACTCGTGCAAATAAGTAGTTAGGCCAGTAATATAAAAACCTTAATATTTTGACTTCGATTATACTTGATTAGGGTTGCTTATCGTTTGTTGCAATGCAAAATCGAACAAAAATTCGACAAATTACAGAAAGCCATAACAATGTGTTACACGATCTGCTGGTATATAAAAAAAAAATAAAATAAAAATTAATTAAATGTTCTAATTCAAAGTATAAATGTTTAATATTAGAGAATTAGAATGGCACTTACCTAATAACTCCTGCCTCTCAGGGTGGTGCTATATCATCTTTTAAAAGTGATTCATATATACATAAGCATACTCGTAGGTAGTTCACCAGAGAATATTTCTAGCTTCATTTCGCACATCATAAATGTCTTACGAAGTCGTAGCAATACTTTTCAGCCTTGCTTCACTGTAATTAAAAGAAGAGCACGTTCTAGTTTTTTTTAATAACGAAATTGCGAAAGAGATCATTACTCGCGCGCAATTCCGTTTTATTAATGAACCTTTCACTTCATTGCAGATTTTGTCCTCATTACTGCCACCCTCACCACCGCACGCACTGCTACTCATACTATATACCGCTGAAGCGATTTTCGGCCGAACTCATCCTTCAATTTGTGGTTTTGCGTCTTGATGCTTTTCCAACAAATGGAGGGATCTACAGTTTAAACTAAGTCGCCTTCGAACGGCTGATATTTTTTTAATGAGGAGCTTAATATCATGTCAGAAATACACTCGGAGGGGTTGACATTTGCTGCTCATATTGCTTCGAATTTATTTATTATTTATTGTGCAGCAAAAACAATTGAAAGCATTTTGATCACATCAATTTTGCACTTTTTTTGGAAAGAAAAAAAATTAAAAATAATATAATAATACTTAATTTAGCTTAAAGTACATATTTATATATTATATAAACGCGGAGATTTTTGTAAATAAAAATAAATATAGGTGAATATATGAATATATATACTAATATGTTTGCTAGCAAAAAATTATACATGAAAAACATTTCATTTAAAAACTAAAAAAAAATTACAGTTTAAATTAATTAGCAATGTTTTTGTAAATGTTTATGCGAAGAAACATTTTTTTTGTTAAATTTCTTTATTAAGCCATGCGCCATTTTGGACAACACACAGTTTTTCACTCTTGTATATATATGTGCCTATGTGTGTTTGTTCATGTACACTCGGTTTATTATGGTATTCTCTTTTCTTGTGTGAATCCTTCGGTCACTCTTAATTATTTTTTCAATTTCACATTTTCTTTCAAGAAATTAATTATTCCAATCGCTGCAGGTCGCTGTGACGACTACCGTGGCCTATTGCATAGCCTGTTGGCCGTGAAGCGTCGTCACCACCCACGCCAAGCGCTGAGGGTCAGGTCGTTAGTACACTTTAACTAGTGCTCAGCTCAGCCAGCTCGCCATATTTAGACTTTTCACCTGTGCGCCACTTTGTATATATGTATGTCATATGTATAAAATACATATGTGTATGTATGTATAGCTAGGATTCTTTGCAGATACATACATATGAGAATTTGCATTCATAGAAAAAGAAACTATTTATCTACAATATACATATATATACATATTTATATATATATATATTATGTATATATGTATTCCATAACCGTTTCCACAGCTAATAGTTAGTTTGTATTGTATTTATGGGCGTGAATGTAATTAATTACATACGTACACTATTTTTCGCGTTTATGCCATATTAAAAGTTCACATAAAAATATCAGCCCTTGCAATTTAAACACCATTGCCCAACCAAAAAAAAGGGAAAAAAGAAAAATCATTTAAATTATTGATTTTTTTTTATATATTTTTGGCACTTTTCAGTAACAGTTACAGCGTTGGCGACGACAGCAATGACAGCAGCGGCTGTGACTGCGACTGCAGCCATGAAGGCTGACTATGCTGCTCATTTGCTGTGTGTGCTTTTATATTTTTTTTTTTGGCTACACATAATTTTTCTCTACCAACCGTTGCCGCAACCGCGCACATTCTCCGCTATGCGTATGTCCTTATTCGCGCCCGACTTAACCGCTTTGGGCCTCAACATCAACTGAGTAAGCGAATAGCCCTGAATAGCTAGTAAGGCAAAGCTGCCAACCATCGAGAGCTTAACCGTAGTTACAAATTTGTGTTTATGTATGTGTGTAAACACAATCTGTCTCACCTGAATGGGTACAGAAAGACAGTTTTAGTCTTGATTGATTTGCTACTTAATTTATGGAAGATATTTTTGGATCAAAAATATACTAAGCACACTAAATAAAAAATTGGTAATATTCATTTTCAAATAATTTTTTTTTTTTTACAAATTTCCAATAGAGCGGACGATAAAAGCATAGTTGTGTTATATTTAACATAAATATAATCGCAGCTTTGTAATCGCTGAAGCAATTTTCGGTCGAGCTGATCCCCCAATTACAGTTTATTCTAAGACGCCTCCGGACGGCCGATGGATTTTTATGAAGAACTTTTTACTTCCAGTCAGTAATATAATCACAGTGTTTCTTCTTTGCTGAGGGGTGACCGCAAATGGAATAATTAATTTAATATAAATTTTGATGTAAGTCGGGTCAGAACTTGAACTTTTGCCCTGCGAATGGTAGTATGTATGCCACCTGGATGGATAAACACTTTTTAGCTCTCACTATAAACGATGCAGTATCTCCTGGGGAAGCAGACGAAAAGAATAATAAGCATCAATACACTTAGGCCGGTGTATGCCCATCTTGATCCCACGGTGTTTATCCCATCACTAAGATTCACTGTCCACCCACCTCGATTATTGATGTCTGCTATGTTACACAAATCATCGATGATAGCAGCTCCTAGATAGCGGAACCTAGCTGTGCCCAAGGTAGTGCAGTCGCATTGGAGATGTGGAGCTATTTCTTTATTGTTCTTATAGTTTCTACAGCATCTCCTGAAAGGAACTTTCAGTCTAGCCGCATGCCATTCTATCTAGCAGTGACCTGTCAAGGCTCCTATAACGTAAGAGATTTCCTCTATTTTGAGCGAGTATATTTTGTGTGATTCAGTCACATTTCGGCCAAGTTTTTATTTAAGTAGTGTGATTTCAATTTAATTCGGCCTGCTCACAAATTTGGGTAGCCAAAGGTATACCTATACGATCTTTGTCAAAAAGAAGCTGCTTGTTCGTTCCAAGCCTGGCAAGTTCGTCTGCCATATAATTTACTTTTATGTCCCGCCCATAAATCCTAAAATTTACATATACATATATGGAGCCAGGCGGCGACCATGGTCAAAACTCGAACCTAGTTACTTCCTCAAACCCTCAAACCAGGAACCTCCGCATGGTAGGATTAATTATTAACTACGCTGCGACTGCAGCCGCTAAACTTATTCATGCGAAACGAAGTGTATGTAATGGCCCATATGTAAAAACTTCCATTACAGTTTTGTTGATACACGCGTCTGTCCCGTATTGTGCAGGTCAAATACTCCACGAACGTTATTGTTGCATGTAAAAGCTCCACGCGCCCTCGCTCTCAGTATTTATGCCAGAAAATGTAAACAAGCGCCTGCGTAATAGAGCAAAGAGTAACTGGGAAAGCAATTTGGCGCTAGAAAAGCTTTCAAAACTTGGCCACAAATATTTGCAGACGAATAAGGGTTGAACGTGCACATGGGTTTGTTTATATTGAACGCTGTACATCGGTACAGCAGTGTGCTTTAAGGCGGGCTTCAGACGCTTTTTACGAATTTTGGAAGCAGAAAAATGCCAGAAAGGGAAGCAGCGATTATGCGCTCGCAAAATTTTTGTCAAGCCAAACGAGTTGATTTAAATGTTATTACAAAATTCTCAACGTATCCCGGATGTTTACAGTACTCTATTTTTCCAATCTTAATTAGATGCAATTTACAGTTTTTCCATTTAGTTTTCCAAAGAACAGTCGCTTTGTTATATCCTTGTCTATATTGTTAGAAGTAAATTTCCATAGATACTTTATTGTACATTTTGTTTTATTGGATTCCTTATAATATGGCTAATATCACTAAAAAATTATTAGCGCGCTGAAGTCAGCAAGCTTTTTCTCGCTTTTATGTTATCAAACACTTTGTCTATTCGATCGGGTCTATGTGTCCACTCCTTCCCGATCGGCAAATCGTCCATAAATCGCACCACTTCGTGTCCGACGCAAGACATACGGTTTATTTTGGTTCTTGTCGTCCGAGTGACCGATGTATTGCCGAACAGTGCGCATGACATTTCGAAATATTTCATGATCTCTGTACACAGCACCGGGTCGTCTTCTTTGTGGTGCTCTAAATTAATACACAATTGAATATTTTATACTCAAATCTGCGGTAAGCTTAGTCTAGAGTTCACCTTTCATTAGCACGTTGCACCTCCTGACGCCGCCGTCGCAGCTCTAAGCGTCGCTTGCAATCATAAAAGTAGTAGTAGATGCAGCAGCTGATGAGCAACGCTGCTATGGCATAAACGAACCAGCTGCAATTGTTTAGGAAACTAAACGAAAATGGAAGCGGAAACGATCGTAATCCGTTTTATCCTACACACATAAATATCTATGGAACAATAAAGCTCACTTACATTTTAAAAGTTTCATTGACGTCAAGAAGAAACTTTGAAACTTTATCCGATTTTCGGTTTATGACATCCTCCGGGTTACGCCACAATGAATAAAACCGTGTCATGCTAAGCTGTAGCGCTAAGCGTATGTTTGTATGTATGCGTTTCACGTTTACTTCCGTTTCTGTTCTACTGTACTTGCTCCTTTTATCCAATACTTCAATATTTTTTATTTGCAATTTTCTTACGGAATGTTTGTTGATTGAAGTATGTACTCGTGTGTGGACTATGATACTTTTCGTGACGAATTTTCCTTCGGGACCAAGTCCTGAATTTACTCAGTTTGTTTGTTATAATATCCAGAAGTGTCCAAAATAGAAATTTAACAAAATATGGTATGGGGAAATGGATACACAAAATAAAGAAGGGGAAACGAAAATTTAAATTTCAAAAACTGTATTTGAAATGATTTGACTGATTTTTTTAGATTTCTAAAGTGACAGTATACGCTGAGTAGAAGCGTGTTGAAAATAATTGTTTATATCATCAAAGAACTATATAAAGCACTTAACCGGTAAATTATAAATTTAATTTCTTTTTTTTTTTGAGTTTTGAATAAAAAAAAAATAAAAGACCTCGCCATGTCTGAGAAAGTTTTTCGCAGTATTAAAGGCATATTTCTTGAGGTTCATTTTCCATTAAGTATCCATTTATAAAGTGCAAAACAAATAAAAAATAAATTGTTAAAAGTAAATAAGTTATGGTATAGACGTAGACAGTATGTGCAGAGGAAATTCTTGTCCATCTCATAAATACCCACATTTCTAATGATGATGATGATACCAGTTTATCGGTACCAATAGTAAGTGAATCAGTTTAAGCCATACAAAAGTCCAGGGCCTGACGAAATTGTTACTATCCAACTAACAAAGTCCTTGAATAGCTGCGTCAGCTGGCTGTATGCTGTTGGATGAGTGCATAAGTTCGTGCCCGAATCCGCTGGATGCCGTTCGAATCGTTTGAGAGTGGCGCTCGTGAAAGAAATATATACATATTATATATCGTTGGAAAGGTGACAGTCCGAACTGTATACAAGCATAAAATAACTTCATTTTGATTTGAGTTGCTTAGTGAAAAGACGCATGGAAGATGGACAACGAAAAAGATCATATGCGTCATATTATGTTATATGAATTCCGCAAAGGAAAAACAGTAGGCGCTGGAACTAAAGATATTCGCGAAGTTTATTTGGACCGTGCTCCAGCACACCGCACAGTAAAGAAATGGTTCGCGAAATTTCGTTCTGGAGATTTTAACCTCGAAGATCAACCTCGCAGTGGACGGCCTTCTGAGCTTGATGACGATGTTCTAAGGACTTTAGTTGCGAATAACTCACGTATTTCGACAAAGTGGACCCTATGTCAACAGCAATTTCTTTGCTTCGACGGATCAACAACGAACCTTTTTTGGATCGGCTCATGACTGGTGATGAAAAATGGATCTTGTACAACAATGTTCAACGCAAAAGAACATGGAAACAGGCGCACGAAGGGGCGGAACCGATGTCGAAAGGTGGATTGCATCAAATGAAGGTACTGCTGTGCATTTGGTGGGATATCCGAGGCGTGATCTATTTTGAGCTCTTGCCAGCTGGAGATACGATCACTGCCAACAAGTATTGTCAGCAATTGGTCGAATTAAAGAAAGCAATTGATGAAAAACGTCCGATTTTGGCCAATCGCAAAGGAGTTCTTTTCCATCATAACAACGCCAGGCCACATGTTGCAAAACCGACCCTGGCCAAACTGAAGGAGATGAATTGGGAAATCATGCCGCATCCCCCATATTCAATGTGCTTCTACTTCTCTATCGAGTTGAAGCCCGGTGTAAATAATGGAGAAAAAATCATCATCTCTCAATTTCATATATTGCAGGGCACGGTACTTTTGGGTTTATTAGTTGAGTATTACGTACCACACTAACTGGGGCCAGAAATGTCCTCTCGTATCTACCCCCTGTCGACATTATCGATATTACAACAGACCCACGAGCCTTTGAATAAATGTGGTATTTCGTCGATTGTATGGCATTTAGCGCCGTCTTGTTTAAACCAAAATCTATCCACATCAACATGTCTGCAGCGTTCACCATTGACTAGAACATTAAAGCCATCATCATTATTTAAAAAATATGGACCAAATCGTGCGAGGCGCCTTATGGTCGTTCGCCTTCAAGTCTTGAGGGAGTTGGTATTTGTAAGCCTGCAAACTAAGACCCTTTAGCAAAGCTCCAATTGTATCGCGCGGTGGCGGATGGACTCATTCGGTTCTTTTTGGTTTTGGTTGTTCAAACTCTGCGGGGCTTTATGCCGACCAATTAATGGATGTAGCAGACGATTTATAAACATTATTCGGCTGTAAGTCTATTTATTACGAAATGGCAAACCAAACTAAGTATAAATCAAGTAACGGTTGTCATAAAACCAACTACGAAAAATGTGTTGCCTCATTTAAAACCACACGTTTAAAAAAATACCCTTTATAATATCTTTTACGGCTAATTGCTATTGGGTATAATATAATATAAATTAGTAATTACGTATTCAGCTAATGCCAATAGTGAGTTATATTCTAATTATTCAAATTTCATTTAGAAAGCTTTTAATTGATGTAACAACTGAAAATTGCGAGAATAAATAAAAAAAGTTATATAAGTATGTTGAGATGTGAATTGACGTAAGCATATGCATACTTCCCGTCTGGAATAAACAACATCACGTTTTAATAACAAAAATACTAAAACATCTCTTTGTAGCTTCGATAGTTAAAAACGTGAGCAAAGAGTCGGACGTGGAATCACTAGTTTACCATACATGATATATGCATATAGACAAATACAACATTTACAGTAATTCGCGAAAATCTTCATTCAAGAAAGAAGGAGACGTATTTTGAAATCCTTGCTGAGGCCGCTCATAAATTTTTTGTAAGGGAAAAAGTGTCTAAATTAGTTTTTCTTCGCAGAAGCTTTATAAGCAGCTCTCGCTTCACTGATATCTCTGCCCAAGGTTCTAATATATCGTCTAATGAAATTACGCCATTGTTTAGTGAGGAAAGTCATGCTGTTGATGTCAACTAATGATTCTACTGCTGATCTTCCATCATCTACAATTATTAGGAGAGTTTTCTGATCTCCTTTGAGAACAATTAGGCCAGTCAAACACATAAGATTAATTCCCCATTGGTGTGGTGTGGAAACGACTATGTCATAAAGTCCCCATACATCTGAGAGCATTCTACACCTAAAATCATCGAATTCAGAGGACTATAGCGGATCAAATTTTTCATATATGAGATTTTATATTTAATACTAAACGAAATATCATACAGCTTCTGATCGCAGTATATTTATCGTCCTTCTATTGAATTTGTTTCGTATTAATCAACTTTGATTTCACACATTTTTTGTGTTTATTTATCTAAATAAAATAAATGCATGAATGTGTATGTATGTATTTACGTATGTACTTATGCTGCAACAAAACAACACGTACATAAAAGCATGTGTATATTACATTTGAAAAAAAGCATATGTATATATGTTTGTACATAATCGTTTGACTTTGGCGAAACGTGAGTTTTTCTTGTTTGGTTGTAATGATTTAATAGTTTTATTACTGTATATTAAATATTTAAAGCTTCACTTCTACATACTGTTATTTTGCCGACACGATTTTCGCTGCACATTGCATTCTTCACTGAATTTTATTAACAATTTTTCATTGTTTACATTTGGCTATTTACAATATTTCCTTGTTTCATCCAAATTTGTAATTGCTATTCAGGTGCGAGTAATGTATTATACAAATGCATGTATACAGAGGTCCATAGGTGTTTTCATAATTAAGAGTATTATGTTCAATTTAATCTTATTATTAATGGTAGTTTTTAAAAATCTAACGGTAGTTGCATAGAGAATTCACGAATTCATGCTTCTTCTCTGATTCTATTACAGCTTTGGAAAAAGTTCTATAATTTTGTACACATTCCCTCTGACCGATTTTGGCTCATACCTGCGTTCCACTGATAGTAGCAAGCACTAAATTAACGGTGTACTCAGTTACTGCGGAAATAAATATTTTAACTAATTTTGAAACAAACAATCACATACTCTCATAAAAACAATTACTGTACATGGCATCATCTGCTAATTAATAGAAGGCCAACGACAAGCTACAATAAATGTGAGTAAATAAATTCCATAGTCACTGTGCAAAGCAAGCCTAATAGTAGAAAGTGCAAAAAGACGTGAAAATACTTCAATGACTTTTTTACACCTTTCTCGTATTGCAATAAGCAATATTATTTGCTACATTCTTTTGTCCCGACACGATAAAGAACGCCGCAACAAATGACGCTGTGACAAAATGAGAGTAAGGATTAGAGAAAAATCAAAAAGTTTTTTAGGAAATTTCATTTTTCTGTTAAAAAATGTTTATCATCAAATGCAACATTTCCGTACCATGTGGTATGTGAAGACTTTGTCTAGCTACGTATCCGCCGAGTGAGAAATCCGTCTCTTCGATGTAGAAAAAATGGTTCGAATAATAGTCCTCCACTGGTTATTGTTCCAAGCACCCAATCAACCGACTATGTATGGCGGTCAGATGGCTTCATTTGTTGTGTGCGCTGGACTTTAAGTGGACATAAGCGTAAGTCCAAGCGTAAAATACGCCATGATGTACTGTAAGACAGTCCCAGTTCTTTAGAACGTGGAGAAATGGGCACATGCGGGTCGTCGACTACACTTTCACTTACAGTAGCGACATTTGGGCGGAAGGCAAACTATTATGCCTTGCAATATCTGTAAACGATTCAGTCTCTTCAAATTTCTGTAAAAATTTAACCAATTGCTTGAGTAGCTGGACTGTTATGTGCACCATAATCTCCTCTTAAAGCCTGAAGCGTGGCCACATTTCAATCGCAATTTTTGCGGACGTCAAAAACGGTCGTTTATCATTAAAGCCACAAAATGGATATCGCTATATTTCTTCTTCTTAGTTGGCTTGGGCACTGTTTACGAGATTATAGCTGAGTCAACAAAAGAATATCCCTCGTTTCGGCTTCTGCTCTCAGTCGCCAATTTATAAATACTCCACTTGATCTTCTCCTGCGTCCATTAGTCAGCTGTTCTTAACCTACCATCGTCTGCGATATTTGCCAAATTAACAAATAGGTGATGTGTCGATCCTTTTCTACCAACTCTTCACCAAGATTTCACATGGTGAATTTCTGGTATATGGTGAATCCAATAGGACTAAAACCACACTAATAAGGCCCGATGAGTTTAATATTCTCCACATTTGCAATGTTGTTAAGTTGTTAAGTCTTATTCCGCAATAATTGTGGAGTCTCTCTTCTTATGGATTAGGCAGAGTACATTCATATTATAATTGTCACGAATGCTTTTATTCCAACTAATTTGGCAATTAAGATGGG